CATGTGGACCATGAGGTCCACCACCCTGTTGCTGTAGCCGAACTCATTGTCATACCAGGAAATAAGCTTCACAAAGTGATCATTCAGGGCAATGCCAGCCCCAGCATCAAAGGTGGAAGAGTGGCTGTCACTGTTGAAGTCGCAAGACACAACCTGGTCCTCAGTGTAGCCCAGGATGCCTTTGAGGGGACCATCTGAGGCCTGCTTCACCACCTTCTTGATGTCATCGTATTTAGCTGCTTTCTCCAGGCGACAGGTCAGATCCACCACCGACACATTGGGAGTGGGCACACGGAAGGCCATGCCTGTGAGCTTCCCGTTCAGCTCTGAAATGACCCTGCCCACAGCCTTGGCAGCACCAGTGGATGCAGGGATGATGTTCTGGGCAGCCCCACGGCCATCACGCCACAGCTTCCCAGAGGGGTCATCCACAGTCTTCTGGGTGGCAGTGATGGCGTGCACTGTGGTCATGAGTCCCTCCACAATGCTGAAGTTGTCATGGATGACCTTTGCCAGTGGGGCTAAACAGTTGGTGGTACAGGAAGCATTGCTGACGATATTGAGGGAGTTGTTGTACTTTTCGTGATTCACACCCATCACAAACATGGGGGCATCGGCGGAAGGGGCAGAGATGATGACCCTTTTGGCACCACCCTTCAGGTGAGCCCCAGCCTTCTCCATGGTAGTGAAGACACCAGTGGACTCCACTACATACTCAGCGCCAGCATCACCCCACTTGATGTTGGCGGGATCTCGCTCTTGGAAGATGGTGATAGTCTTTCCGTTGATGGAGAGCTTCCCGTTCTCAGCCTTGACAGTGCCATTGAACCTGCCACGGGTGGAATCGTACTGGAACATGTAGACCATGTAGCTGAGGTCAATAAAAGGGTCATTGATGGCCACAACCTCGACCTTGCCAGAGAGAATAGCAGCCCTGGTGACCAGGCGTCCAATACGGCCAAATCCGTTCACTCCGACCTTCACCATCTTGTCTGGATCGCTGCTGGCTGTTCGGGAAGATCTGCTATCCGCGGACGCACAGGAGCGCACAGGAGCAGAGAGCCATTTTTTTAATTTTTTGAAACTTTCTGCAAAGCTTTATTCTGGAGGGGCTCAGTCCTTCTGGGGGCTGCCTTCCTTATGGGGGAAGCACATTGCTCAGCTCCTCACGCTTTCTCTTGGCGTGGATGTGCATCCCCACCCTTTTCTTGATGAACTTGAGGGCACATTTGTCCTTGGAGACCTTGAGCAGCTCCATGGTGTGCCACTCATAGGGGGAGAAACCGCACACCTCCCGGATCATGTCCCTCACGAACTTGGTGTGTTTGGTGAGGCTGTGCCTGAGTTTGCTCACATTCTTAGTCACCTTGTGGCCCTTGTTGAGGCCCACAGCCATGGGATAGCGGAGGGCCCTGGCTACTGTTCTTCAATGGTTGCTGTTGCAGAAGGACCAGTGCCATATGGAACTGTGAGATATCTTCTCCCTGATTTTAAAGTGAAGGTTTTTTTTGTCATAGCCAAACCCTGGAAACAACCTAAATACTCTTCAACTGAAGAATGGATAAAGAAGGTGTGGTATTTTTACACAATGGAGTCAGCTATAAAATAGGATAAATTTGCATCTTTTATCAGTAAATGGGTACAACTATAGAACATACTCTTAAGTGAAATTAATCTGACCCACATGTGCAAACATCATATTGTCTCCTTAGTGTGAGAACCTGAAAGAGACACTTGCTGTATGTGCTAGTATTTGGTCTGTTTTGGAGAACGTCCCATGTGCAGCTGGTGTAAAGGTCTACTAAGTCCATTACTTCACAAGTTTGGTTTAGCTGTTATTTCTTTGCAAATTTTTGCCTAGTTGACCTATCTCTTTGTGGCAGTGGGGTGTTAAAGTCTCCCATTACCATTGTGTTATTGCTCATTTGATTTTTCTCTTCTGTAAAAATTTGTCTTATGCAGTTCACTGTTTCTACATTGGGTGCATATATATTTATTATTTTTATCTCTTGCACTTGCAGTTTTCCCTTAAGAAGGATGCAGTGACCTTCTTTATGTCTTTCAACAATTCTAGATTTGAAGTTGACATTTTCCAACTAGAATGCCTACCCCTACTTTTTTCTGGGTTCCTGCCTTGTGGAGTGTTGTTTCCCACCCTTTGACTTTCAGCCTATGAATTTCCTTTTTAGTTAAATGTATTTTTTGTATACAGCCTGTTGTTAGATTTTGTTTCTTAATCCAATCTGCCAGTCTGTTTCTTTTGATTGGTGGACTAAGGCCATTGACATCAACAGTTATGTATTACATAACCAGTTACATACATAACTGTATGTACAATTACATTCATAACTGATATGTATTGGCTTATCTTTGTCATGCTATTTTCCTACTGCCTACTTTTCCCCTCCATTTAATTGTTTTCTCTGCTTGATGGTTTCTTTCTGTTGTTTTTCTTAAAGTTGTGGTACTTTCTGTCTCTTTCTAGAATGTCAGTACGCTTTGTAAGTTTGGTTTCATGGTCATAAATTTCTTCAGTTGTTCTTTGTCATGGAAGTATCTTATCTCTCCATGGAATACAATCGATAGATAGTTCTGCAGGGTACATCAATCTGGATTGAAAGTTGTTTTCCTTCAGGACCTGAAATGCTTCACTCCAAGCTCTTCATGATTTCTTGGTTTGTACTGAGAAATCTCCCTCTTTCCCGAATTCTTGGCTTTGAGACACAGGACAGAGGAGAGCCTGGACTGTGGTGTGAGTCCTGCCCCATGACTCTTGGCTTGGAAGTCACACCTCAACCACCACTGGCAAAGGATGCAGGAGCTTTCTCTAAAGTCATTTTGAGAAACTGATGGAGACTTTTTTTAGAAAAATGCGCGGTGTAGTGCCTGGCCTATAAACCAAGGTGCAAATCTTTAATACACAACTCAAGCCACACCCCATGCAGCTGCCAATCCAGTTAAACCACACAACACTTTTACCTCTCTGAAGATTTTCTGCCTCTTCCTCCTTGTAAATTTCCATTCCTGATAACTTTCCTTATGAGCTTGGGTCAAGATTAGCTCTTCCTGTTCTCAAAATGGATAAAAAACTTGGGCCAATATTGGTGTACGCATTCTCTTGGCCTAAATACCTCTACTCTACTGGCAGACTGATTCATTCTTATTGTGTGTATTGGAAATTTGTTTTTTCATTGTTGTATAGTCTTCAACTTGTTAAAGCCACTAAAAAAATTTCCACTGGCCTCTTGGTGACTTTCGGAACTTATTTATTTTCTTTCTTTCTTTCTTCTTTCTTTCTTTCTTTCTTTCTTTCTTTCTTTCTTTCTTTCTTTTGTATTTTAGGGACAAGTCTATAGGGCATTCAGGGTGTCACTACTAGACCAGACTCATAGTGATCCGCCTGTTTACAGCCGCTCAAGAGCTGGGGTTATAGGTGTGTGCCACCACGCCCAGTCTTTATTGCTGTCTCAGCGTGCCCCAGGGGCGGGGCTGGCATGGCAGGCCTGGGGATCGAACTCCTGGCCCCTGCACCTGCTTGCAGGCACTTTCATCCACTGAGCTATTTGGCTGGCCCCCGGAACTTATATCAATTTGGAATACTCTGAATGCAGAGACTATGTGGCAGTCTGTAGTTCCACGTGTACACTATGAGCGCTGACCATCTGAGATCAATTTCTAGCTCTGTGTTGTCTACCAGTCATGGCACACTGAGCCAATTAATGGAGCTCTTTGGGCTTCAGACTTGGAAAGTGATGGAATGGATACATCAGATCGTCTAGCTGGGGAAGATTAGATGAGCCCATGTCTAAAGCAGTTAGAAAAGTACCTGACTATAAAAGCATTAAATAAGCAGAAGCAACAATGGTTCAGTCTCATCGCCATGAACCAAAAGAAGCTTACACAAGTGAGGATATAGAAAGCATCTGTACAATACTGTTTATCTGTTATTGCTGTTGTTGCCTAAGCTTTTGTGGTCGTATAAAAGTTATTGTTCGCATCAATATCAGGAAGCTCTGGTGGATGGGCTACAAAGTGCGCTTATACTGCTTTAGAGTTTTAGGTCTTAAGTTTTTAATTCCATTTGAGTTGATTTTTGCATGTGGTATGAGACAGGGCTTAAAGGTCCACTGACTATAAATGCATACATTTATTTTTGGGCTTTCTGTTCTGTGCCACTGGCCTATATGTTTCAATGGGTATACCATACTGTTTTGATCACTGCAGCTTTGTGGTATATTTTGAAATAAGGTAGCATGATGCCTCCAGCTTTTAAAAAAAAAAAAAAAGTGAGGATATAAGAGCAAGACGGGAGAAGGGGAGCCGGGGAGAGTGGGCGTGGCCTACAGCTAGCAAGTGGGTGTGGCCCGTCATTCACAGAGCCGGAAGGCATTCATTCCACTAAGACAGCTTCTAAACCCTGCACCCTGGACCCAGCAGAAGTGTTATCTTCAATTCTGGCACAAAAACAATCCAGTTCTTTATTTCAAGACCCTCACCATGAACCTTGTGACCAATAGAACTCTGGGAGTGGCAGACTTCTTTCCTACCTTTCATAATTAGAAAAACTCATTACCTTTTCACATGTTGTCCAATTCCTTGTTCAAGAAACTAAGGACTTGGAATGAGCCTGCACAACTCCAGAATCTGGTAGAAGCAAACAAGCAAACAAACAAAAAGTGTTTCCCGGAAAACCTAAAGCATCACAAGCCTACTGTGCCAGAGCTTAAGGAGGAATTTTTAAAATAGCTTTATTTCTCAATATATTAATTTGTTCCAGTACATGCACCCCACAGCTTGGGGATGCCACAAGTGCTTGAGTGCTTTCAGCTACCAAGCTGATGACCCGAGCCCCTCCCTGCAATTACTGGAACCGTAGGCCCCTGTACACTGCAGGGTCACAAGCTGAAGGCCTCCTCCTCTCCTTCCTGTGCTGGTGTCCAGTTCCCTGTTTGTTCTTCCTGAAAAAGAGGAGATTCTGGGGTGAGGAACAGGGGGTAGGACATAAAAGCCACAGTCCTCAGCAGTTCTGGGCACTGAAGGACAGTGGTGACCATGACGGTCCCTGAGAAAGCACAGGATCCGGGTCCCCTGGGTGAGGCTGAACGGGGGCTGCATGGATTGGGGGAGGCGCCAGGAGGTGTCTCAGTTCTGGGTCTGACGTGCTTCTCTGCTCATCTAGACCAGGAAGAGCTGGTAGGCGGCAGACCCACATACGGCATGAACAGATATCGACTGGCTTCTGTATTCAGCCGCCTTGCAGGTAGAGCCTGGCAGGGGCTGAGGAGCACTGGACAGCTCCTCCCACGTGTTGGAGTCTGGGAGAAATGGACACTGAGACTCTGGACCTGGAGTCCTTGGGAGGGTGGTTGCTATGCTTTGGATATGGGAAAACGGGAGGCTGGCAGCATGGCCCCGGTGCCAGGCTGAGCAGGGGACCTGGGGGCACTGAATTCCCCAACTTTCTGTCCTGCAGGCTGTCACCTCCATGACTCCATCTCCTTGGTCCTGAAGCTGCTCTTATTCATGCTGTTCGCTGGGATCTTGGTGGCCATCCTTGCTAAAGGTCAGGGCAGGGCTTAGAGTGGGGGCTCCTTCAGCTGGGGTGGGCAGGACCAGGAAGGAGGAGGGTCTTGAACTGGATCGGGTGCCTCAGAGGCTCCTGGGAGCTTCTCAGGCTTCTCCTACCTCTCCTGGAGCACAGGGGAGGAGGAGGAGGAGGAGGAGGCACAGAGGAGGGTTGAAACAATATGTAGCTTCACTGAACCAATGTGCAGGATGCAGCACACAGTGGATGACTAATAACTACAGTTTTTTTCCCCTTGGCATAGTCTCCAATATCCCAAGCAGGCAGGACTATGAGCAGGCTCAGTTGCAGCAGAAGCAGACCTACCTGGAATTGGCCCAGCTGAAGGACAGAATGAGTGAGTGACAGGAAACTGAGAGGGTCTGGGTATCCTGTCACTATGTTAGTGTCCAGTCTTCTCTCAGCCTCAGTTTGTTCCTCTGTAAACTGGGGACACAGAACAACAGACAGGATGGTGCTACTTCTCACAAGGGAGCTCACACACAGTAGGAGCTCAACTAAGCCAGTGTCCTGGACTTTCTTCTGGCATCAAGGTCCCTTTTTCTCCCAGCCTGGAGGAAGTGGGGCCAGGGTTCAGGGGGTTTCCTTGGGCAGGGTGGGGCTCAGGAAGTGGTCACACTGCGGTGGGTGCTAAGTCAGGCAGGGCCTCAAGGCACGAAGCCTGGACAAGGACATCCAGATGGGAGTCCACCTTGACCATATATCTGCCCACAGACAACCTGTGCCGCCCCTGCTCCTGGGACTGGACATTCTTCCAAGGGAAGTGTTACTTCTTCTCCAAGTCCCAACGGAACTGGCACGACTCAGTCACTGCCTGCGAGGAGGAAGGGGCTCAGTTGGTCATCGTGGAGAGTGCTGAGGAGCAGGTGCTGGTGGTTGGGGCAGGGGCCTTAGTCTGGGGTGGACACCCGGATGCTGACAAGCTCTGGGGGAGGTGACTGATCAGATTTTCTGGACTAGGGGCTGCTCGGGACACTTGCAAAGGGAGGAGGACAAGGGTGTGGTGAGAGGGTCCATCAGCTTGCAAGGGTTTCTACACAAGTTCTCAACATGGGTGCAGGGTTTGTGGAAAATCAAACTGTAAATAATTTCTACTGGTGTTTGTTCAGGGTTCAAACATTCTTGTTTACCAATTTTCCTGGTATAAATATTACGACGGAGGCTTATTTTAACCGCTAAGTGGAACTGAATACAGACCTGAAAAGAGGCAATGTGTGTGTGATCACGATCCGCGCCTGTGAGCTGGTAGGAGCCTTCCGCGGCGTAATAACCCAGTTCTTTAAAAACCATTTTGCATGGTCGCACTCAGACAGATGGACACTGACGTTGCCGATGGTCTCTGATGAGACCAGCTCTGGGCCCTCCGTGGGCAAGTGATGACACATCTGCGGGTCCATACCGATGTGAGAGGGACTCAGGCCTCAGTAACGTGCAGGAGAGATCCTGACCTGGATGCTACAGAGCTCAGGAGGAGGGACGTCAAGGAGAATTTCCTGCTGTGAACTTCTGAGGCTGTTCCTTCTGGGTATTTTTCCAGAAGAATGGAAAACATTGCAGCACAACGATATACGTGCTCCCATGTGTGTAGCCCCACAATTTGTCACCGCCAAATCTTGGAAACAACCCAAACGCCTGTCAGCTGAGGAAGGGATAAAAATGATGTCGTTTTATACAATGGAGTGTTAGATATAAAGAAAGATAAACTTGAGACTTTTATAGGTCAGTGAATGCAAGTAGAGACTAAACTCCTACATGAAACAAATCAGATTCACATAAGTAAACATTATATTGTCTCGCTAGTAAAAAACTCCAAAACTCAAAGAGTAAATAAAATCTGAAAGGAAGAATAGATACTGCGAAAGGAAAAAAAGCTGTGCAAAAGGAAAGGACAACCGGGTTGAGAGAAAGGAGAAAAAGAAAGAAGGGAAATACACACACACACACACACACACACACACACACACACACACACATATTATATATACTTATATATAAATACTTTATACGTAAGTATATATAATATATAATAATATCTATGTATATTATATTATACATACAGGATAGCTAAGATAATTGTACTTCTATTTCCTACTGGGTTTTTAAAAATAATTTTATTGAGAAACAAATAGCAATGAGACAGTTTTAAAACCTATTAGTAGGACAGTTTCAATAATTAATACATGGCATATTGTTGTCTTCTTAGTGGTTATTCATAGTACAAGATGCAGACAGGATATCCTGTCCACAAACACTATTAGGACAAATCTTTCTTCTCATTGAATTAAGAGAAAGTAGCTGTATATCTAGCCTAACTATTTTGAATGTACAGATACAAAATGGTCCTTCCTTTGTATCCTCTTTTTTGTTGAGTTTTGTCAGAGAAGGGTATCCCGTTGTCATTTAAATATTGTAGGTGTGTGAGTTCGGCAAAATAATCCAATATAGTCCAGTAGTTTATAATGGCAGTGGGTTATCCTCAGGACTGGCAATGTCAGAAGTTGTTGACTTGAGCCTTTCACAGCTCAGCATATTGATATGGTTTTACTATTTATACCTCGTGGTTATACTTTTCTGCTGGATGGTTAAGACCAACATAAAGCAAGACCTATATAACAGAAATGTAACTTTTGAATCTGACAAGTTCTGTCAAATCCCCTCAGGATTTATCCTGTAACCCTGTACTGCAGTTTGCAGATCCTTTGTCAGTGTCAGCCATATGGATGAGTCACGGCCATTGCCTGACCAATGTGCTCTCTGTGAAAGCCTGAGAGAATGTTTTCTCTCCAGGTGACTCTCCTTAGGCACACTCTGCATCATCTATCACTTTCCTCTGTGGCCTCATAATCTCCTGTTAGTGTATTGAAAGGAACAGTTAATGCTTAATTTTTTGATCAGTTATGCATGTCTATATCTGGTCATCTGAACAACTGCTCTGAAGATAACAATACACAGTATACCAACCACCGTTGATTTCCTATCACCTTGCTTTGAAATTCTGTATCATTTTGTATTTTTAATTTTTTATTCTCTTTAAATTAAAAAAATATTTTTAAAAGAAATTTGGGGGATGGAAGCTAGAAAATAGGCTCCCAAGCCCCCTCCCTGACTCCTCCTCTCTTCCTCCAGAGCTTCCTGCAGCAAACCTCGAAAAGCAAAGGCAGCGCCTGGATGGGGCTCTCCGACCTGAATAAAGAAGGCACGTGGCACTGGGTAGATGGCTCCTCTCTCTCCAGCAGGTAGGTCCAGGGAGATGGGGCACCTTACCTAGAGGATCCCTTCCATACTGTTTCACGCCCAGACTTAAGAATCCCGGATGTCCCTGGCACCACATGCCGTGCTAATCTCACCCCCAGGTGCACTGAGCCGGCCATCAAGCCCAGGTGTGGTGGCATGTGCCTGTAATCCCAGCGCAGGGGAGGCTGAGAATAGAGGATCACTATGAGTCTGAGCTGTGTAGGGAGAGCTGTACCAAATACATAAAAGTTAAAAAAAAAAAAGAGGCTATTTCCTGTACCTCCAGATAGGATGGCAGATGCCTCAGTTTCCACCACCAGGCCTTCAGGAGGAGCTGGCTACCTATGAGGAGGATTTCCATATCCTAAAAGAACATCTGAAGAATCAAGGAAAATGACTAGAGAGCCGTTACCACAGAAAGGAGGGAATATTATGCCCACAAATCCCAACGCAGGGCAAATCGTCACACCAAAGCAGTCCCATGTGGAAGAACAAAGACCAGATAGGGGGCAGTGAGGGAGGGGTGGAGGGGGGCCAGGGCCTTCATCCCAGGGTCCACAGCAAGGACAGGTGAGGCGGGCAAGTGTCCTTGGGATTGGCTTGTTTTTTAAACTAGTGAGTTCTAGGTGGGAGGTGTCATTTGGCACCTGGTACTGGACAGCTCTAGACTGACCGAGGCTGCAGAAGACCCAGGGGGAAGGTGGGTGAGGCTGCGGGTTTCAGATTGGTTGGGTTGGATCTGAAAACCATGCCCTCAGAGGCAAGGCTCCTCTGAAGCACAAGAGACGAAGTCAGGGTCAGAACCGGCCAGGCGACTGAGGCACACAGCAGGGTGTCCAGAGCAGAGCACGCCTGCTGTGGGCACGTATGATGGATGGGAAGGCTTCAAGTACCCAGCGCTGAAAATCTGGTTCGGGGGGATGTGGCAGAGGCTGGGCAGAGACTCATTTTGTGAATGGGCTTCGCAGCTACTGGAATAAAGGAGAGCCCAACAACATTGGGGAGGAGGACTGCGTGGAATTCAAGGGTGATGGCTGGAACGATGGCAGGTGTGAAAACAAAAATTTCTGGGTCTGCAAGAAGAGCGCCATGGCTTGCTCCCACCACTGACGTCAGTGTCTCGGCCCAGTCCCAGCAGCCCCGGCACACCTACCAGCTGGCCAAATGGTACTCACGTTTATTCCAGCTCCTTTATCTACCGAACTGGAGCTGCTAACGATATCTCTGTCAATCTTCTCTGTCACACTTCTCATCCTCCGTGGGGCTCGGTCATTGCCGTCCTTCGTCCTCTGTCACCAGCTTCCCTCTGGCTCGGTGGCGATGGTTACGGCCCCTTGAGATAGTGTGGGGCATTGAGGACTGCGGCCTGTTCCCCAGTCGACGCTGCCTCCGTGAGACTAAAGTGTTGGCAGGGCCATGTGCAGCTGCTGCCAGGTCCCTGAACGGCCTTACCCAATTCCACCTGCTGCCCTTCAGTCTGCTCCTCCTGCATCCGCCTGCCCTGCACCCCTCAGCCAGGACGGTCTCTGCTTGCACACCCGCTCACCCTGCAGGCTGGGAGCACCGTCCAATTAGTCCCTCAGTTCATCCATGACTGTTTGCTGTACACACGCCCGGCTCCCTCCTCCCTGGTGAGTCTGTAGTGGACCCTGCGCTGGGTCTCCCGGGTCTCTCTTCCCAGAAGGGGACCTTAGCCCAGCTGCTAGGAGTCCTCTAGGAGGCGGCTGTCACGTGTCAGCCCCTTCCCGCCTGGACTCTGCTGCAGAGGCTGCAGCTTCTGCAGTGTCAAACTCCATCCTGAGGCACCTCACGTTTGTGCAGGACAGTGGAGAGCTGACCATGCTGGGCCAATGCGGGGCGTCTCTGAAGGAGCCCTCTGATTCCAGAGCTCCCCATTAGGCCAGCGGTGGCTGCGGTGGGAGCGCCTTCACTGGGCTTGTCCCTCTGCCCTTTCCTGCTTTCTTCTTGTGAATGTAATTAAAAATGTATCAGATCTTTGTCTCTGTTCCTCAGTGACAGGGGTGTCCTGGGTTATTCCCAGTTGGCCCTCTGGGCCATGCATAAATGTATGCTAATGAGGAGCTGCACTGCAGGGTGCTTGTGTCACCTCATCGAGGGACTGGTAGATGTATCTTCCACTTGGCTCATCTGAGTTGCCACCTTCATGATAAAGAAGTGCATATAACCAGAGTGCTGTCTGAGTTCCCGTGAGTCCTTGGGCCCATCGCCAAGCCTCATAGCAAGGAACCACAGTTTGTGACTCGCTTACAAGCAGGGTTGCTCTTGGAACCCGTTTTGTTGACCCTTGACCCTTGAAGTGGGGTTAATCTGGGGACTGAACCCTCTAACCGGTAGTATCTTATGTTAACTCTTTCTTTCTTTTTTGATGGCTGGCTCAGCCCACCCTGGAGGTAGAGATGGGGCTGATGAGGCGTGTGGTGTCCAAGACTGAATCTAGGTCCCTGCATGCTTGCCAAGCTTGCCTGAGCAGGTGCTTTAGACCTCTGAGCTATCTCGCGGGCCCTGATGTTAGCTCTTAGTTAGAGTTGGAGGAGCATGTTGTGTATCCTACCCACAAGACAGCACAGGCCTTCCTTCACAGCTTGTCTTGAAGGACATCCAGTCTTCCACAAATTTTTTTTTCCTGAAATTAGGTCACGGTCTATGGGGTCTACAGGGTCTCACTACATAGATCGGACTCGTAGTGATTGTCCTATTTTCAGCCTCCAAAATTCTGGTGTTACAGGTGCAGGCCACCATGCCCAGTCTCAGTCACCATCTCAGTGTGCCCCACAGACGGGGCCTGCTCAGTATGCTGGAGATCAAACCCCGGCTGCTGCGCTCTGTCTGAGCAGGCGCTTTAGTCAGCTGAGTTATCAGGCCAGCCTTCCACAAAGTTTTATTGCTGTGACTTTTTCCTATTGTTTTCCTCTCTCTGCTCTCACCTTTGTTTTCCATTCCTTGAAATTGCTTTGGGTTAATTTGTCTCTCTCTCTTTTGCTCATTTCTCAGGCTTACTGATGTGAAATCTGTCGAAATACAGTTGATCTTGGTTGGCGTTGTGTTCAACTCTAGCTTGAGGGCCAGACCACACTGCATGAAGGAGCATCAGGGTTCTGATCCTGAAAGGCCCAGAGCTTGCTGTGTATGCAGGATGTGCTCAAGAAAACAGAAGCCAGAGGCATAAACTGACTGCTCACATGCAGTTACTTTCCTTGTGAGTTGGTGACAGGATCCAGAACAACAGGGATATGGCTTGTGCAGCCGAAGCTACAGAACTCCTAGGAGAACTAGACATTCTGGGAAACTCAGCCATTACGCTTCTATTGTGAGTCGCTAAAAGAGACAGAGAAACAGCTTAGTTTCGTCTTGGTACTAAAAGCTTTGGAATAAATGGATGTTGTTGTGGGGTTGTTGTTGTTGTTGTTGTTACTTTTGTTTGATTTTGCTGCACTGAGAATTTGAGTGAGGGACTTATCAGAAGAGTGATCCTTCTGCCTCAACCTCACTGGGTTATCAGTTTGGGGTTTTTCTTCATCTGTTTGGAATAAGCAGAAAGGTTTAATTTAAAATAATGATTTTCAGGGGACCGGTGAGGGTGAGATAGCTCAGCAGACTAAACGCCTGCTTAGGCAAGTGCTTAGGACCGGGGTTCAATCCCTGGCACCACAGGCCTTGCCAGCTCTGCCCTAGGGCATGGTGATCTGGCCACCAAGACTGGGCCTGGTGGCACATGCCTATAGTCCCAGTGCTGGGCAGCCTGAAGCAGGAGATTAAGTTAAATAAGTTAAATAATGCTTTTCTGTTTGATCCCCAGTGTACCATGCTGGCCCAGCCCCAAGGGCGCAATGAGAACTCCTTTTTTTTTTTTTTTTTTTTTTTTTTTTTGGCGGAACCAGGGATTGAACTCAGGCCCTTGTGCTTGCCAGGGAAGCACTTATTCCATTGAGCCATCTCGCACTGAGATGGCACCTGAGACTGGGCATGGTGGCGCGTGCCTGCAGTCCAAGCACTTGGGAGGCTGAAAACAGGAAGATCAGTACGAGTCTGATCTGGGTGGTGAGACTCTGTAGACCCTGAACTAAATACATGAAAAATAAAACAAAACAAAATTTAAATTTAAATTTAAAAAAATAGTGATTTTCTGTCATCTTTTCTTAGCACCTATTTTCCAATTCAAGCACTTAAAATGAGTTTCACTGACACAACTGACTTAGCTGCATCTTATATATTTTATATGTTTTTCATTTTTAAGTTCTAAATACTTTATGCCCATTGATATTGATACTTTGAATGATAGATTATGTAAAGGTGTAGTGTTTAATTTCCAAGTGTTAGAGAGTGCCATGTGCCCGTCACTTTGTATACAATTCTCAACACATGTGCCAAAGAAGCCATGTATTTTTTTTTTAAATTTTTATTTATTTATGCGTGTGTGTGTGTGTGTGTGTGTGTGTGGCCAGCTCAGCCCACCAGGGGGCGGGGCTGGCATGTGGTGCTGGGGGATTGAACCATGGTCCCTGTGCTTTGCTAAGCTTGTTCTAAGTAGGTGCTTTAGACCACTGAGCCAT